CTGTTATTCTACTAATTATTTTTCAATATGCCACTTGCGATTGCCTTTGGATCCGCCTCCGAGTTCAGCCATGGCGACGCCCTCAAGGCGGCGCTCGCTGAGTTCATCTCAATGCTTATTTTCGTTTTCGCCGGTGAAGGTTCCGGCATGGCTTTCAGTACGTGTGCTTACCTTACATTGCCCGCCAATTTTTCTTATTTGGTGTATTTAAAAATGTGTAGAAATGGCTTTCGTGTTTGATTCTTTTGGGCAGACAAGCTGACGGACAACGCTTCGACAACACCGGCTGGCCTAGTGGCGGCGGCACTGGCTCATGCCTTTGCACTGTTCGTGGCGGTTTCAGTTGGCGCCAACATCTCCGGCGGCCACGTCAACCCTGCAGTCACTTTCGGTGCCCTTATCGGCGGCCACATTACTCTCGTCAGAAGTGTCCTCTACTGGATTGCCCAGTTGCTTGGATCAGTCGTCGCCTGCTTGCTTCTTAAGTTCTCCACCGGAGGATTGGTAAGTCCAAAAAAGCATCAAATTCATAATTTCAATTGGATTAAACCCTCAATTATTATATAGACCCTTAAATTAGTTCTCAAACTAAAAAAATTCTTAATTTTACCCCTAAAGTTCCTAAATTTGATTTTAAATTGGTCTTTTCGTTCAAAAACAATTAATGTGTCCTGTTACTATTGTGATATATGGCTATCAAGTAATAGGCTTCCATTGTCAAGTAGCAAATAAATCAATTATTTTTTTTATCAAAAGGACCAACTTTTAATTATTTTTAAAAATTTTAAAGATTAAATTAGATTTTTTTTAGTTTAGAGACTAATGTAAAGGTTCATACAATAGTTGAGGGATTAAATTAGGAGTTTAATCTTTTAATTTTGAAATTGAATAATTATTTAGGACTTTTTTTTTCTTTGTTTCGGTATTGTAGACAACATCTGCATTTTCCCTTTCCTCCGGCGAGGGTGCATGGAACGCAGTCGTTTTGGAGATCGTGATGACCTTCGGTTTGGTCTACACTGTCTACGCCACAGCAGTTGATCCCAAGAAGGGCAACATTGGCATAGTTGCTCCCATTGCCATCGGTTTCATCGTGGGCGCTAACATCTTGGCCGGCGGTGCCTTCGACGGTGCATCCATGAACCCCGCCGTCTCTTTCGGCCCTGCCGTTGTCAGCTGGAGCTGGGACAACCACTGGGTGTACTGGCTCGGCCCCTTCGTTGGTTCTGCCATCGCCGCCATTGTCTACTCTGTCTTCTTTATTTCCCCAAGCACACATGAACAGCTTCCAACCGCTGAATTCTGACTTTTCTTCTATTTCTCAGAAAAAAATAGTTGAGAATTCAAGTGGGTTTCAGCTTTCAAGTTTGAGAGTGATTTTGTTGTTGTTTTTATTTGTATCTCCACTGTTAATTGTTGATGATTTCCATTGAAGCTGTTCGTCAATAATTTGATATTGATTCTGTAAATTAATTCTGCTCAGTTCATGGTTTTTCAAAGGTTAAGTGTCAAATTTTGATCTTTCAATTTTAAAATTTTGTATAATTTTTATTTTTTAACTTAAAATTTTAATCTTTTAACTTAAAGTTGAAAAATGAAAAATATACATATATTAAAGTCAAGAAACTAAAAATATATATATTTAGATAAATTTAACGGTCTAACTAATGGAAGAACTAAAAAAAAAATTTTAATAATTAAAATATTAAAAAAATGTAAAAAAAAAAATTAAAGAACAAAAATGGTGCGAAACCTTAAAATTAAAGAATTAAAATTAACATTTAACCAATTTTTAAACAAAAACAAATGCATTTTACTTTGAAAAGAAAAAAAGAAACTGGAGTCACCAACTCGCTGGCATTACTGTGTGTGACATATATAGGGACTTCACCACTAAATGGCTGCTGGCTTAAGGAATCTAGACCTCTGTATGTGCCATCCAAGATGCTTATTCCAACTCTCCATGAAAGTTCAAATGGTATTGGTAGGCCAAAAAATAAAAGTTCAAATGACAATAAAATATCCTCTTGGTTTAGGTATGGAACTATTAAACATTAAAGATCTTGGATTTAAAACTTATAATGGTTGAGGACTTACTGTATTTTTTTTTTTTAGAAAAAAAGAATAAGATAAGGGAGTAGCAAACACACAAAAAATAATTTTGCTGGGTCCATCTTTATGCCCATATGCCATGGAATATAGAAGAGATACCATAGTCTAAGATTAACAACTATAATGAATAATGTTCAAACAAAAAAAAAAAAAAAAACCTCCAGCCTTCACATTTTCTTCTTCCCATGGTGTTTGCTGAGCTTTGACCGTCGCTGCTTAAATAAGTGGAGGTAAAGTTTCAACCAAAGGAATGGGTAGATGAGAAGCAGAACCTGAACCAGAACATATCAGAGTAACTGTTAGAAACACATTATGGAAAAACATTGAAAATTAAGACACTGTATCATCTTCTCATTTCATATGATATGTATTTGTTAATAAGAGAATGGATCATCATTCGCAGGAAAATGGGGGGTAACAACACAAGACAATAAGGCAAATAGAATTCCAAGTCCACGCAGACCACCTAACACAATGGCAGGAAACTTTGGCATATAACCCTAGGTCCTACTAACATCCAAAATTTTAATCAGCAGAAACCCACCTTATACCCACCTCATCACATGCCTAGTAAGTATAGGGTTGTAATAAAAGAATAGCACATAGAGGAAAAGAAGTGTCAAGTCAAGCTAACCATGTAAAACAAAGTGCTAAGATTATGGTAAAGTTTCTTCAAGCACAAGTGTTACCTATCAGATAAGACATACCCTTATAAAATCGTAATAGCTGAAGGGAAGATTGCCAAAGAAATCCACGAAAAGGTTTTTCTTCTTCACAAATGGAAGTGCTTGATACATAAGCCATACTGCATTGATGATTGATGGAAGAAATTATGAAAAGAAAAATATGCTGGGTAGAATTTTATTTGGTAAGGAACTAGAAAACCAAAACTGTCAAAAGTTCAGCAAATATGAAATGTGATATCTGAACTCACTTTCACCGGGAGCAATTCCAATGGGGTACAACACAATAAATGCAGTGTACCTGAAGAAAGAAAAAAACATTCAAATCATAATATTCTATTAAGCTTCATTTGATTTTTGGTGGTTGTAGAAAGTAACAAACCTGAGGTAGGAAAGCCAAGATGGGCAACTACTAAGGATGCTCAAGGCATAATGTGAATACCTGATTACCTGCATGTAAGATCACAGAAATGCTAAATTATGTTGCAATGATGATGAAACAAATGTAACACATGGGATAAAAAACCAGCATGCAGGTCACATGTTACTTCAATGTCCTGCAAATTTCCACTTCTGCGCACTGAAAGCCAATTTGGCAAGTAACCAAATCCATTAAAAAGCACAAGGAATCACTCAAGGTTAAGACCCAATTAAACTATTTTGGATGGTCTAAAACCACCATCACTTAATTGTCATTACTCTTAACTGATTCTTCCGAGCTAAAATGGCAACAAACAAATAGGTCTTAAAATCCTCCAGCAATGGTTTTTCAAGTTCAGTTTTTCCAAGTTCAATGGTCATTAAACATCACATTTTTCTACAGAAAGTAACATGATATATAAGCTCATTAAAATGCTATACTTTATCTGGAAATTTCTGGCATTTTGACAAACAATTAAAGAAACCAACCAAGCTGCAAAGAAATATTAAATGTTGAATCATATATAATTAACACTGAAACTCACCTCACTTAAACTCCAAGCAAAAAATGTAATGAAAACTGATGGCAACTCCTGGACCTGTTATCATACAAGTTAAAATGTCCAAGGTAAAAAATTGCAGAAACAGGCAAATATTATCAAATATTTTGAATGCCAAAAACATCAAAAATTAGATACAAGAACAAGAACCTCATCAATTTTCCGGACTACCACTAGCAAGAAATGGGTCCGTCCAGCCCATTGCATAAAAGGAAACAAGACTCCACTTGGCACAATACCTAACATATTCCCACATGGGTATAGTCACAAATCAAAATTATTCACAAATACAGAACTAATTCCGGCAAACTTCATATACAGAAGCCTAATTAAGGAAAATTACCTATTGCTCCATGTACCACTTCCAAGAATGCACAAGTTTGTAACATACCTTCAGGGGGGAAAAAAGAAGAAAGATTTACCATTTAATGAACACATCTTTACAATTGTTTCCAAAATGTTAGAAAAACATGACAAATTAACTATTCTCAAAACAGAAGGACACCCATTTACTAAATTTAATCAAAGTAACTTCATTTCTTCAATGGTTTTTTTTTTTTTTTTTTTTCATTTCTTTAATGATGAATTCATATAAATTCCATAAATCTCCCAAAATTGAAAACTTAAGTTCCTTTTCCCTCATGTACTCAATAAACAAAAGGTGAAAAAGGGTGTTGAGAATCTGACAAATTAGATCCCCGGAAGAAGCATAAGCTCCACTGAGTGAATTGGTCGAAACAAGGCTACCCAAAATTCGGAACAGAGAAATTGTCCTGCCATGAAACAAAAAAAAAGTTATATGCGTGAGTTCAGCAATTCATAGAAGAGAACCAGAGGAGGCAGAATTGGAAGACGAGTACCAGCCAAGGAACTGAAGAGAATTGTAAGTACAAAGATAGAGCTTCAGAATGCCAGACATTTTAACAGTCAGTGCGCGTTATCCACAGTTCACACCTTCCGGTTAGATAAGGAGACGACAGACATACTTTGATTTTCCACTTTTATTTTTTAATTATGATTATTGTTATTATAATAATTTATAAAAATTATTGGGGTTATTATTTTTTTAATTTTAATTTTAATTTTTAAATAATATTTAAAAGTTTTAATTTTTTAATTAATTTTAATAACTAATAATTATGATTATTTTTATTAAGAAATTAGTATGTATAAGTTTTTATTTTTAAAAAAAATTGAAATTGAAATTTATATTTATAAATTGAAATTCTAATTTAGTTTTTAAATTTAAATATTAATATTTAATAAAATAAATTTAAATTTTAAATTAAATTTTAATTAAATAAAATGATATATTTTAAATATTTTAATATTACAATTTTAATTAAATTAAATATAATTAATATTTTTAAAAATAATAATGTATAAATTTTTATGATTTTAACACTTTAAGTGATGGAAAAACCTTATTATGAACCCAATATATTTTAAAATTTTGTATAAATGATATACACGAGGAGGCTGTAAGGGTAACCTTGTGTATTTGAATTCTGAGCTACAATAATTGATGGGCTGAATTAGCTACAGAATGGGTTAGAAGATTGGCCCATGGATAAGCGCCACACTTTGAAGCCAACCCAAAGATTCCAAGGCCCAGCGAGCAAACTAATCTTTGGCGCTATGCATACCTAAACTGGATTAACGTCGCGGGAAATTTAAATCAGAATATTAAGATTTTGATTTTGCTACTTAAGTATCATTTTTTTCTCATGTTTTCTCAGCATCCAAACAGACAGTTCCCTGAATCAGTAGCAATTCTGGCGGCTTTTTCCTGAGCTCGATTTCGATCTGTAACCAGTCACAGACTCGCCGCCAAAATGCAACATCCGTCGCTGTGAGTCACGCATCGAGTTCTAGGGTTTCTGAAATTCTCCGATTTTTTTAAGCTAAATTTGATTATCTTATTTTAAATGCAATTTTCTCTTCCTCTCTGATTTTTTTCTTCGATTCAATTGTACTGATAGCTTGCTTTTTGGAACCACTTTTTGCTAATTGAAGAGAACTTGGATCTATCGAGAAGAAGAAAGCGGTACGGAAACTCTTCCTCTTTATTTTTTTATTATTATTATTATTTTTATAGCTTATTTTTTATTAGATTTTGTTAGTTTGATGCAATTTCTCTCCATTTTCGAGTTGTTATCCACGTGATCTTCATAATGTCATCTTGTAGCCAAGGGTTTTTAGAGAGTTTGCTTTTCACTGCTTTGATTTCTTAAGCAAACTTTGAACTCCACGCAATAATTATTAAGAAATGAGGAAAAGTTGTTTCTCTTAGACTATATAAAATTAATGGAGTCTTCATGCTGTGTAGGTGGACTGTAAAATTCAGATAACATGCTTAATTGTTTATGAGTTTTGCATTTAGTTAATAGGCTAAGTGGGCGGGGGTATCAAAAAGTGAAGAAGGATTGGACGGGAACAAGTTGCAATTCTTTCAAGTAGTGTTTTTCAAAGAATATGACAAAAATGTATGTTGAAATCTTATCTCAGGCTTCCATTTTGCCTCCTGGTTGCATTTCCTACTTATTAGTTGGATGGAGGTGGCATTAGTCATGACCAACTAGCAAGTAGCAACCTAAGCAATTTCTTTGTATGATCATTATTGGGTAGATAGTTGGAAAGAGAACTGCAAGAGGGGAAGAACAAGTTGTCCATTTCTAAGTTGTCCATTTCTTTGTAAGATGATTATTGGGTAGGTTGTTGGAAAGAGAAATGCAAGAGAGGGGAGGAAGGATTGAACAATGAACAAGTTGTCCATTTCTAAGCAGGATTTTTCTGGAAACGTTCTTATTTCTGGCGGGCATTCTTCCCCCTTTTGGTGTCATATTTTGGATTAGCTAGATATGTGCAGGGTCAGAAATGAATTGATTGTAAATAAAATAATCTCCACATAGGTTCATAGTTACTGAGTTGATGGTGCCATCGAGGTTTTTTCCTAGGATGGTTTTCTGAACTTGTTAGAATGGAGCTGCCCGCAAGACGGGTCATTCTCAGAGCTTGTTAGATGCCATCGAAGTTTCAGTTTATGAAATGCCGGGGGCCATTAAAAGTGAAGGACTAAACTTCCTTCAAAATCTATGGAGCTAAACAGGCCTTAGTTCCTGGGAAGATTGAGTTCCTAGGACATGTTGTGTGATTGGTCAGCCATGTTTCAATTGGATGTCATTGTCATACTCGTTGAATTGATCATGTCCATTCATATTTCTTTCATTCTTTTTGTCATCCTTCTTGCTCCCTACTAAGACTTTTTAGGCTTTTACATGTCAATAGGAAGGCAAAGAAAACAAAAAAAGAGATAAATTATATAAATGGTTATGATGGATTTGGGTGGCAAACCACTAAGCTAACATATTATTTTGGGAGGATTACAGATAACATCCTATCAAGAACACACTCATAAAAAGCCATGGTTCTTCCCGTTTCTACAAGGAGCTTTGTAATGCTTGTCTACCTTATTTTTAGCAATTAGACCTTTCAAAATTAATTTATCACCATTAATGCTACTATTTTCCTTAACATGACAGTGACCCTCTCTATAATAAAAAGGATATGCTCCCAGGAGACTGGGGTGACTTTATGTAAAAGGTTTTTCTGAAAGTTTATAGAAGTGAAATAATATCTAGGATATAAATTTTTCTATGATATGAATATCATGGATGAGACTGAAAGAGTTAAGAACTTTGTTTTCCATAGAATAAACTTACATTCATACAAGATTGTTTTCTAGGATAATTAAGCTTTTCTGATAGACATAACATTATTTAAGTGAAAATATCAGTAGGTGAACAGGTCAACAAGAACCGTGAATTTCTACCAGGCATTGCGCTTAAGCTGTTAAGTTTGACAAAATTTCTGGAATGCAAGTGTGGGCTAAAACCATTGTGTTTTACACTCTGTATATACATTTTCGGACATCCTTATATCTGTTGTTTTAAAGGCAAAAAGTTTTTGTAGTAAAGGCGATACATTGATTCAAAACTTAAAGTTCAAAGGTGTATTATACATTACATTCATGGAGATATAGCTATCTCCTCAAGGGAGATTTGTAAAGCCCTCTCTTCCTCTCTGAAGACCAAAAAACCACACAAACATAAGGATATAGACTAAGTTTCTGCAATGGGATCATTGCAGCGGTGCGGGACACTGAAAACAGTTACTAGAAAGCTTAGAGAAAACCCAATTACACAAGTTAGAGCTTCCTCAGAGATATTTTACATATGAACATATTTAAATAAATTAAATCTAGTTAGCCTTTTATAACCGTTCCGTATTCTTGAAAAGAAAGGAATTGATTGGCAGGAAGAAGCATCTTACTCTCTTCTTCATCCATCTTCCACAGTGAGTCCAAACAGTAGTCCCATGATGGAGAAGCCACTAAAGGATAGGAGAAATCGCAACCTTCTTCACTGTAGGTATCACAAAGAGGATTTATAGTGTTTTCTTCAGATAGATCAATGTCCTTCCATATGTCATCCATGGAGTAACCCTTTTCATTTTCTATCTGTTCACTCTTTTTTCCTGCCAAAGCCATCATATCAGGACCTCCTGTGTCATAAAATCTTGCCTTTCCAGCATCTACTTTCGTGATAGTTGATGATGAGGAAGAACTCTTAGGAGATGATGGAGGTATAGCCCGTTTACTCTCTTGAGCCTTTTTCCGCATGTGGGTTCTCCAGTAATTCTTTATCTCATTATCAGTTCGCCCAGGTAATTTTCTGGCAATTCTGGACCACCTGCGCGTGATTATCATTTTCAGACACAGTGAATTCAAGTACATTTAACTAAAATTTTGAAGAAACATAATTCAAACAATCTTTATGCTGTTAATGCAGCTAAGGGAAAGTCGGATAGAAAGGAAAATATGAGGATAAAATAAAACTTAGATTGTGCTGCATATGATTGAACCTGTTTCCCCATTTTGCGTGAAGTTCCAGCACAAGGCGCTCCTCTTGAGGAGTCATCTTCCCCCGCTTGAGTCCAGGGTGCAGGTAATTAACCCATCGCAGCCTGCAACTTTTTCCTGTTCTGTTCAAACCTACAAAATAAAGGATTAAAGGATGCTCTCTCCAAAATCTGTTAATCTTCAAAATACGCCTACCTAGCTAGCATTTGTCTCCCTCCACCTTTGCAAACCTGAAACTTTGGCTATAAAGTCCCATCGTCGATCTCCAAATAAGTGCACAAATTTGACCAGAATCATGTCCTCCTGTTCTGTCCAAGGACCCTTTCGGATTTCCTCTTGAACCATTTTCATTTTTCCTCTTTTGTCTCTGTTTCGCCGACCTTTTCTGCAAATGGTTATTAACTTTACCTAATTCCTGGTACATGGAGATCTGACAGTACACTACTAGTATTTATATCAAGTACTTGCTATTGTTTAATATTTTTTGGTTGTTGATAATGCATTTCACAGTCTATGAGGTGCGCGCGTGCTCATTTTGTCATAGACGCCTCATGTATCTTATGTCAGCCACTATAACCAACAAATCAAAGCCAGATTTATTTCTTGATGTTTCTTTCAAAACTACTATGTCATTAATTTAGTAGATTATGGGTCTGATATGCAAGCACATTACTCCATTTTCTTTTAGTTGCTTTGCTACTATATGAGATAGACTATCTATCAAAGCTTAAATTGTTTTATAGCAGTTTAAATGTAGAGATATATTCATATAAATGAATTCAATTATGTTCCAAAATTTTTAGAGAAAGGATTCTTAGGGGCTTGATTGGAATTGAATAGAAATGTTCATCATTTTATTCTTGTTAACTAAAGTAGCAAAAAGTAGACATCATAAAGAAAAAACAACAAAAAAGGATTCTAGGGCTTTATTGGATAGAAGGGAATAAGTTAATGGAAGTCCCTAGATCCTTCTCCTTACACCCAATTTGAGGAAATGAGAGTAGTGTCAATTGACTTACAGAAGGGCAGAGAAATAGAAACTTAATGGAAAAGCAAAAGTAGAAGAGAACAAAAATTGAAAAGCAGTAACAGGGTATGGGAAGGCATTGTTTTAGTGTCAAGTGACCTTTTTCTCCCTATGAAAGATAGAGGGAGATATTATTCTAGGAAACCATTTTTCAAATGCCTCTTGTTGTGCTATTCTAAATATATCCCATTTATCCCACTATTTATCTGGCAATGGAAGATCATAAACAGAAAGCATAAGTTTAGCTACTACAAATTATGAAACACTTTTCTTTTTGAATTTATTGATATTAGGTTAAAATTTTATTTTGATTTCTCTATTTTAATAAAAAGCTCATTTTTAATCCCATTATTTAAGAAAATTTCTTTTTGGTCTTAAAATTTATTATCCGATCCCTTTTTAGTTCCTTTGTTATCTTTTTACACAAGTGACACTTTTAGATGATGGAACTTCAAAATTTTAAACCATTCAAAAAGCCACTTTTTAGTCTTTTTACTTTGGAAGTTCCGTCATTTAGTGTACCACATATACAAGAAGATAACAAAAAAACTAAAAAGGAGTCGAATAATAAACTTTAACAACGAAAAAAGGAGTTTTCTTAAATAGAGGAACTAAAAAGAGGTTTTTGTTAAAGTAGAGGGACCAAAATAGGGTTTTAAGCTTCATATTATTGGTCAAAGTCATTGTCACCATTAAATTTGACAAGGTTACCAATTTAACTCTAATTTTATCAATTTATAGTTTCTTTTTTTTAATAGTTGGTTATAATATTTAAAAATATCTGTTTGTAAATTGATTTCAATCTTTTAAAAAATTATCAGTTACTTTTAATGGTCAAATTAAAATTAAAATTTAATAGTTTTTTTTTTTTTTACCTTAATAAATTTTATGGTGGCCATAACCATAGCGGATATTATTGGAGATTGTCAACATTACTTCTATCAAAAATTTTGTATACAACGGTGCTGAAACCTGATTTTATCACGAGCTAGACAAGCTTTCTCAAGGGAAAAGGGTTCTAATCTCACGTCTCACACCATATTGAGTTTGAAGTTTGGGATTTAAAGGTTCAATTTTCTTTTCAGATTTGATCATGATCGAAAATTTTTGTTTAATTATGTTTTCTCTTGATTTTTGTTTCAAAAATGAAATCAGAATTTAAAGATATATAGTCAAATTTACAGGTAATCGACAATTATAAGTAAACATTATTGATGCTTACAGTACTTCTAAAGAATCAACTTTGAGATACTACTGTGCTTTGCTAAGAACACATAAAAGCCTTATAATCATATCTGACCCTTGAGATTTTGTGGCCTTTGTTCAAGCTAATTCTGTTAAGAAAATAGTTGAATTGATTGTGACTGCCATGTAGCTGTATGCTGTATGGCTCCCAGAACTTAATGACTTCACATGGTTTTGCTTTCAAGTAAAATATTTCTGCTGATAGCCTCATTCTGGAGGTTGATTTGCGCCTTTACAAGTGGCTTTTATCCGTAGTCCATTTTCTACGGATGCAATCAACGCGGAAAATTTGTCTGCTTTCCATCTTCTTTTTATCAACCACTTACACATCTTTTCTTAATGGAGATGTAATATGTTGTATCACTAACAAAAATGTGATAAGGAGATAAAAAAGTGGAATACGGCACCAAATGCCAGTGCTAATGCTAACATCATTTTGTATATTTGTGGTGGAGAATTGATGATGCTAGCACTAAATCCAGCATGCTGATGCTGTAACATATAAAAAAACAGAGAATTTAAGAGCAAATGAACGGCCTGATGGCTCCATGCTTTAGATGCCCTTATAAGTGTAGTGGTGATAGAAAGACTAGCTTAAAAGAATGAAGCCGTATGACGTGGATACGACTAAAGGGTGGCCATCCCACTAAATTTTGTTTCCTCTCTATCTCTATCTCCTTTTGATGCATGGGCCCATATGATTATTCTTTTAAAGGAAAATATTAAAAAACCATTGATAGGAGATATGCTGGTTACATGCCTGTGATATGCTTGTATGTATAAGGAGAGATGCATGAGACATTTTTCTTGGTTTCATTTTCTTCTTTATGAATGAAGAGCTAGATTCTCTGGTCATTCTTTTGTTGAAACTGGGTTTCTGCTCAATTTTATGTCCCTCCCTCTATGTATTTAATCACACTAGCATAAATCTGAAAAATTAAACTTCTCCGTATAATTTTGGACCTTGTATCTATTTCCATTTTCTTTTCTTTCTTTTTTTTTCCCTTTCATTTGCTCTCTTGATGGGTGTTTGACAATTAAATGGCGTGACATATGCAATTGAAAATTCTCTCTAATCAAAATGCTTGATGAGTAAAGAAACACATGCGGCCAATGAAGACATGCAAATTGCTTGATTTAATTCCTGCTTGTCAAGTGGCAACCTGCTATGTTCAGTCGGCATGTTATATGTGGTATTCCTTCGATTTTTATAAGCAGCATGATAATATATAAAATTGTGAGATGATAAGATATTTTATTCTTAGATCATGCAGTGCTATTGGTTTTGTGTACGGAATGGCTAGGATTGGCATGGAATTAAACACTAGATTGTTTATATAACTTGCAGGTTGTGCTAAAATATGTGGGTGGAGAAGGAGTTGTCTCATCCCAAGCAAAGCTCCCATTCGTTGGGGATGGTCTACTGCATGATGATTGATTTAGCCTAACGTTATGGCAAATCCAAGGTACTGATTCTACGGACTACTAATAATAGGAAGATATGATCCTGAGATGATAATGATTCTAGTAACTACAATGACATCCTACCATTATTCAGCCATAAATATGTTAGACTTGGTTTATGTGCTTGTTAAGGATGTAAAGTGGATATTCTTTAGCTCTTTTCTTCTTTGCTAGTGGGGGACTCTGGTGATCAGTCAAAGGCAAAGTAGCTAATATGTTCAAGAATATAATTATTAAAAAAATACTTAGTGCCTGTGTGGACCAGTTTCCACTTTAACTGAGAGTCATCAGATTATGGAAGTGGGATCATTATTTCTAGATGCACAAGGCCTCTTATATTCTTCAAGACAAGGAAAAATTATTGACACCAGTTACATCCGAACCATGTTCCTTCATTGGATGCCTCTAAATCTTATGGTCATTTCTTGATATAATCTTTTTCTCAACCACTCCATTTATACGGAATAGACTTTAATCAAAACAGTACTTGAACTCAGCAGAGAACGTTTGATTGGGAATTGAGATGACTATATATTTCTTACTAAAACTATAAAAATATTTCTTAAAAATTAAGTTAGGGGTGGAGAAAGATTTAAGGTTAGTGATTTTCTTCTTAAATTAGGGATGAGCATGGAATACCCATTCATGGAGATGAGCTAATGGTTTTTTTTTTTTTTTTGTATGGATCACTCGATATCTGAAAATCTACTAGATCGTCGATTAATTCGGATTCGAGCTGGGCAAGATTTAACAGGCGGCAAAGTTCTCTTTTATGAGTTTTAACAGAGCTGTATTTTCAGGGTTGAAACCAAAAACTCTGGTTAAACTGAAAAAGTCCTTTGTTAATTTATCTACCCGGTCGTGGGTTGAGCTAATAGTTATTTTTGGTTCATTTGCTAATTTAGAAAAAAAATCAACTTTAATCCCTTTCCGTTCGTATCTTAAAGAGATTTCTTAAATTTTTTTTGTTTTTATGATTTGATCAAGGAAAAATAATCATCCAT